TCAAGTAGTCCTATCTTATTTAATGAACTCTTTAGTTATACATGTCTTATGAGTAATGATCATATTAGATTATTACCTGGTCACTATATGAATACTGAGGATGAATACCCTCAACAATATCTTGATCCAACTAAAGATGATCAATTTGGTGGCTCTTGTGATATGCCTCAATTATTATGGTCATAGTGCTACGAATACTAGCTTTCTCTCTTCATCATACTATGATGACTATGATGATCATAGTCATCTATTCATCTCTTAATCCATAATCATAATCATCATCGCCATGATCATCATCAATACTACTTACAATGCATTTACTACTCGCTTAATGAGACCGTTGGTAATACCATAATGATTATGTTGTGTTGTTGGTAGTACTATTAAAGATGTGGATTACTAAGTAGATATTTTCTACGGTGTGACAAGTTAATCATGTTTTCGAATGTTGCCTACTTCACCACTATAGGTGACCATCATCATCATCATACTAACTAGAGAGGGAGACAAGACAAGGAATCTTGTTGTGTAATTGTCGCTAGCCATAGAAATTAGCGCTAGATGCTGCTGCTGCTCAATTCCGCTAAGTTTTTCGGGCATTCCATAGTATTGATGGAATGTGTAGTATTAATGAGGCTATCTTATTGAATGTTCATTTAGTTTATTGAAGTTTTATTACCCCCTTACCAATTATGGCTCCTAATATGATATCATCTAATGTTGTTGAACATGATAATGTGTTATTGTCATCATCATCTTCAGTAGAGAAAGCTATATTAAATAAGTCTATCTATACTAAGGATATGTATGCTCCAACTGAGAAGACTAGAACATTTGTAGTGGATTCCTTTCCCCTCCTAGGAAAGGTCGTAGCTTACAGGTTTATAGAATGGGTAATAATAGTACTACAGTACTACTCGGTAGGTATTATTATTATTGTTGATATTGTTATTATTAGGTTATTGCAAATCCAGAAGGTGTCTGTGCATTACCAACTGGTAAGACACCTGAATATTTTATAAAGTGGACACAGAGGATTGTCAAGGAATGGGATACTACTGATATCAAAGGTAGTAGTAGACACTACTATCAGTTCTTACTACTACTACTGTATTTGATAATCTATTATTATTACTTGTTCAGAGGATCGTCGTATGTACGGTTTGGATGGATATGTAGCTCCACCCAGATTTGATAAACTATGGTTTGTTATGTTGGATGAGTTTTACCCTATGCATCCGGAACACCATAATAGTTTCAAATATTATGTAATTACCTAGTTATTATCATGATGATGGTATGATGCTTGGATTGTTGTAGGTATCTAATTATTATATTAATGGTCTTGGATTTGATCCTGAGAGGTGCCTCTATATAGACTTATCCAAGTTAGGACTTCATGATAAAGAGACATTAGAAGATGTGTGGCCTGATGGATCGTAATGATAATACGACTTTAACAACAAGAACAACTTTATTACTCTTTATTAGGTTTGTTGATCTCTCATTACGTTTACGTACACCTACCACACCATTAGAAGTTCGTCAACAAGAGATGATACGTCAAGTTGATCAATGGTGTCTTGATTACGAATCAAAGATTCGTTCACTAGGAGGTAATAGTATAAGAATACTACTATTACAATCATCATGATGATGATCATGTTATTATATCATTGTAGGTATCGGTTTTTTCCTGGGTGGTATTGGTCCTGATGGTCATATTGCCTTCAATGTTTGTGGTAGTGATCATAGGAGTACAACTAGATTAGCTCAACTTAACTATCCAACTCAAGCTGCTGCATCTGCTGATCTTGGTGGTATTGATGCTGTTAAGGCTAAGTGTGCTATCACTATTGGTAATAACAATAAGAACTAAATAAGTATCATCATAATCATTATTGTGATTGGTGGCAGCCCTATGATCATGTTATAGGTCTTGGTACTATTACATATAACCCTGACTGTGTATGTATCCTTATAGCAGCTGGTGAAGCTAAAGCACCTATGGTGGCTAATGGAGTTCAAGAGGAGACTAATATTAAGTAGTAAACTTTTATAATAATGAATACATATATATTATTATGATCATGTAGATATCCTAGCCATGCTATTCGTGTATTACCTAATGCTGCATTCTATGTGACTAAAGGAGCTGCCAAGCTGCTAGTGGAAAGGAATATTGTTGATGTAATAAGACTGTTATTGTTATTGCTGCTGCTGTTGTTGTTAGTTTAATATCTCTATTTATGTTGTCCTCAATCATCATCATCATTGTTGGTAGTTAAAAGAAGCATCTAATGTTGGTATTGAGGATATTGAGAAGATACTTGTTGATGTATCTGTATCATCACGTAATCATCATCATCATCATCATCATCATCATCATCATCATCATTATCATTATGCTTCTTCCTCCTCCTCCTCCTGTTGTTATTATCAGGTAAACGCCTAGTCGATCTTGATACAGTTGATGTGAATAAGGATCCTATGGGAAAGGTTCTTATGGATCGTATGGGATGGTCTAAAGAGGATCTCCATGATACTTGTAAGAATGATAATGATGATTATATCTCCCATTATTGTTGTCCATATTATTATTAGGTAGGATGGTTACAGAGCGTCTAATATCAAAGATTGGTAAGGGTACTGAGACTCTTACTAATACTACCTTCATGCATATAGAACCACATAATGATGATATTATGTTGGGGTAAGCATAAGCATTGTTGTTATCAACAACAAGAAGAACAACATAGTGGTTATATTGGATTATTAGGTATTTACCAAGTGTTATTCGTCAGACTAGACCAACATCTAACGATCACTACTTTGTTTGTGCTACTTCTGGCTTTAACAGCGTATCTAATGCACATATTCGTAATAATAATAATAAAAACGTTATCTTAATATTATTATTATGGTTAGGTAAAATGATTAGACGTGCTCGGAAGTTCATTGCAAAGGATAGCTTCAGAAAGCTCGTGGAGGAAGGGTAATAATAATAATAATAATAATAATAATAGTAGTAGTAGTAGTAGTAGTAGTGTACATAATATGGTATTATTAGATACTTCCTACCTAAACCTGATGGAACATCATCAATTGGTTTTATGAATGTTGATACCCCCTCAGAAGAGCATTATCAACTTGCTAGATCTAGAGATGTATGGCAGTATCTTGATGGTGTCTCTAGTAGTCATAATAAAGATGGTAATGACGACGAGGAGAAGTCTGAAGGCAGTGCTAGAAGGTAATAATAATACTAGCAGTAGCAGCTGATGATGATGATGATCATAAGTGTTGTGAATATAGGTTTATACGTAATATCATTGAAATATATGCATTATCGCATTGTGATGATGATGATGATTTACATGATCAAGTTGAGACTAAATTGAATGAACTGGATGAATACTTTGATAAAGTGTAATATAACTCCTACTCCTCCTCCTCCTGTTGTTGGACGTAGTATTGTTATTGATGTTGTTGTAGGTATCCTGGCCAACCTGATGTCAAGGATGTTCAGATGCTTAAGGGTTGTTGTAGGGAGTTCGAATCAGAATGTAATAAGTAGCAGCAGCAAGAACAAGAACAAGGGTTGATATTCACCTACTACTACTACTACTCCTCTTCTTATTACAATACTTATTAGGTGCTTGGGGTAGTCTCGGATGGTTACCAACAAATGTTGCTAATTTGAGGTTGGGTTTCTATACATCTGACATCTTTACACCAGAACCAACTCTTGAAAGGGATTCCAAGCCAGTCCTCGATGCTTTGCTAAGTACTGCTCTCATTATCATCATCATCACCATCTTAGAAGTACTAGTAATGTACCCTTATTATTATTCAGAAGCTCAACCTGACATAGTGACTGTAGCTTTCGATCCTGAAGCCTCTGGTCCTGATACACATTATAAGGTTCTTCAAGCCGTTACTGAAGCCTTAAAGATGTATCAGAGTACTAGACCTGAGAAACCTATTAAGGTATGGGGTTATAGAAATGTCTGGTAAGTAGTAGTATTATGTTTAATAATAATAGTGCTCAATTTTATTAATAATATTATATTCAGGTATCGTTTTGATACGAGTGAGATAACTCATATAGTACCATCATCATTATCATCACTAGGCAGTCTTGACAGAATGTTTATGACTAATTTTGAGAGTCAGACTGCTGCTGAGTTTCCTAGCTATGAACTTGATGGTAATAATAATAATATTAACACTATGCTAGTATTAATAGTAGTGTATTGTGATTACTATTGTTAGGTCCATTTTCGGAGTTAGCTGCTAGAATCCAAGTTGAACAGTATAAGAACCTAAAGATAAGTCTTGGTAGGAAATGGTTCCAAGAGCATTCAAGTGCCTTGATAAGAGCTACAAAAGGGTTGGTCTACTTCAAAGAGATGAGTGTTCCAGAATTAGAGAAGTATAGTAGAGCTCTTCGTAGTCGTGCTGAACAATATTGATTTAATACATCATTCTTGCTTTACAACAACAACAACAACAACAACAACAACAACAAGAAGAAGCACAGATCATTTCCCATTACAATAATCTGTTGTCATTTTCACCCGTTTCTTGAATACGGGTTACTTTGATGATCATACGACGACCAATATCATCATCATCATCATCATCATCATGATCAGTATTGTTGGGTTTGTTATAGGAAGGATATTATTATCATTCTTGGTGACAGTAATACGAATAGATGATGATAGTACTTGTTTGTTGTATTACAGTGCGGTATTTATGCATGTTTCCTTACATGTCGTCGCCATGACTACTGTTCATTGCTATGCAGTAGTAAAGTCTGTTCATAGTGATGATAGCAACTTTATGATACGTCATCATTGAGTAAGGTAGTAGGTACCAGGTAGTAGTAGTAGTAGTAGCATCATGAACCGTAGAGATATATAATATAGAACAATAAGTAGTGGATGATGATTACTAGGTCATATGTTTGCCATACTTGTACTACCTGCTAATGAGGTTATTATAGAAGTAGTTACACGTAGTATGACCACCTCCATGATCATTATTACTGGTAGTATCGCAGTAGCACAGTCTACCACAACAACAGGCTAAGGAGAGCTGCTTTGTGGTGTCCAATATGATGATGATTATAACATATATGGTTTATAATCCTCTCCGTAAGAGCCATTTGAGATGGTGTTTAATACACTTATAGATCATCATCATCATGCTTCTTCAACTACCACCTGGTTACAACCTTTAACCGTTGGTGCTGTAAGATGGATATATAACAAATGAGAAGGAAGGTGGTGTTGCTGAGGGTTATGATCATCATCGATATCATTTAGATTGGGATCATCGCCGTCGCCGTTGCCAATACTGATAAGATGAGTATCATCATTATCATTATACTTGCCATGTAGTAGTAATAGTAGAAGTAGTATCATGTATATTATTATTGCCAGCTTCTCAAGGGTTATGATGATACTCATCACTCTTTAGGCTATTTTCCATCTTATATAATGAATATTCGTCCTCTCCTCTTATACAAATCATTCCTACTTACATTACTCTTAGTGATAGCTCTCACATCCCCTCCTCCTCATCCTCGTACTTCTCTCCATCGTGATGATGAATCCTACAATGGTTATCTGGATGATGATGATGTAGCCTATATTGGGGGTTACCTAAGTGGCGATAGAAATGGTATATGGTTTAAGGAAATAGAAAAAAAGGCCAGCACAGGAGGACGTCGACGTGGTGTTGTTGTTATTGTTGTTGTTGCATTGGTTCAAGGAGTTACTTACCATTTCCAAGATGTACACAATAAGCACAATCATCATAAGTGGATTAAACTGAAGATGGATAAGAAGGTTGTTGAGGAGGGTATATACAAACAAGCACCTACTAGAGACGACGCTATTAGAGTTATTAAATTCCTCAAAACTATTCGATATAATCTCATACAGAAGAACATCTTCATCATCACCACTCCAGGGTCAACAACAACATCATCATCATTATTATGCAAGAGTTGCCTGCTCAATCCGTTCTCCTATCGTCGACTTGATGATAATAATGATGATGATCGTGGGGAGACGAGTAGCACCCTATCCAACGGTATGGCAACATTACCATCATATATTGGGAATATATATCTCAAGGGAGAGATCAATGGTCATCCTGTATATGTCGTAGTAGCAAGAGATAATAAGGATGGAGATCAGGAGAAGCATCATCATCATCATCATCACTCTATATCTGCAGCTGTATATACTATACCACTTAATAATTTGTCCGATACATCATCTTACCACACTCATCGTTGTCTTGTATATGATACTAAAGTTAAAGCCAACTCACCGAAGTTATCTATGACATGGAACGTCTACAATAACGACCAGTTAGAGGAGAGGGCATCATCATCATCATCACAGAACAGTAGCCAAGGTCGTCGTATTGGGAGTATATCTAGTCTACTATCTAGTCCACCTTATCCTCTATCCCATAAACGAACATTAATACTCTATAATGATGGTAACAGGGGTTTGATACAAATACCCAAGGTGTGCATTTCTAAAGAGGGGGATAACCAACAACAACAACAACAAGATGAAGAAGAAGGAGAAGAAGAAGACATCCTCGTTGCACTCTATGATATGCATGATACTCCTCCTAAGACAGATATGTGGAGGTATGATCATCATCATCATAATACTGGACCCTACTCTCATACTACTATTGTTGGTAATATTTGGATGTACTGGGTAGACGCATTCCATGTCAAGTTTGTAACGGATAACGGATATAATTGTATATATACTGTTGGCAATAACGAAAAAAGTAGTAGTAGTAAAGATATGAATATAATCATCTTAAACCCTCAATGCACAAGACCACCACCTCTAACACTCCACGGAGGGGTCCATGATGATGCTACGTCCTCGTTACCATTACTTGACCATTTCCAATCAATGCAATCATCTACTACATGTAGTACGATGATAAAGAATAGGGTATGGGAGATTAGGGTGATGGTGGAAGACGATGATAATAAGAGAAAGATGAGTAGTAGTAGTAGTAGTAGGATACTATCATTTATCCCTGTAAGCCGACCTCAGAGGATACCTATTGGACTTTATACAACAACTACTACTAACATCGAGTACACTGCTACTCCATCATCATCATCGTTATCGAGGTGGTCGTCGTCGAGTAGTATTAATGTATTATCAAGTGGTGGAGCGATTATCACTATACCGGAAGAAAGAATACATCTATCTCATGCTGCTTCTCCATTTTATTACACTCCTATATTCCTTACTAAGGGTAGAATCGATGTACTCTATGATCCAACTAACCTTGGTATGATTATGGATTATGATGGTATTACAACTACTACTGGTAGTAGTGGGACATATGTATTAAGAGTAATAATAATAAGGATGATGATGAACATTGTTGTTGCTCTTGCCCCTGTTCTTCTTGTCCAGGCCCAGAACTCATTATCCCTGGGAGAATCATCCCCTTATGACCACCTCGACACAATAATCAGCAGCATGAGTAACAGTAGAAGGAGGAACAGCAGCAGCAGTATACACCATCTTTACAACGAGAAAGGAGAAGAAGGGGGAGGAGAAGAAGATAAGTTCGAGTCTCCAACGAACCCTACAACAGAAGAAGTAATAGTAGTGGGCTTTAAGTAGTCATATCGGCTGTATCATCATCAGCAGCCTCTCTATGCCTCTGTACGTGTTAATAATAATGATGATGATGATGATAATGACGATCAATACATTCTCCCGAAGGTAAGTATATGGACTAATAGTAGACTGCTACTGCTGCTGCTGCTGCTGTTGATGATTATGATGCTACTGTTCAGGGTCACCCTAAGGACTCACCACCACCTCTACCTTCCCCTCGACCTACTATCCTTCCAGCAGTGGTTATAGAGAAGGAGGGAGGAGAGGAGGTAATAATAAGACACATCATAGTAGAAGCCATCATTACACTAGGTTGTCTTACCTCGTAAAAGGCTGGGTGGTAAGGATAAGGAAAAGGATAAAAGAGGAGGAGGAGGAGGAGGAGGGATATTTAAAAGAGGAGTTGGTGTGTTTAGTAAGCTCAAAAAGAATGATGATAAGAAAAAGAAGAAGAGTTCGTAATTCACTACCACTACCCGAGTCATGTTGTTGTTGTTGATATATATACAACTGTGTTGTCCAATTGAGTTGCTGTTGTATCTACTACTGCTTCTTCCTCCTGCTCCTTCTCCATCATTATCTTTCTCATATTCTCCTTCTACTACAATCCTCCTTCCATATGAGCTACTATTACATCACAAATACCATCCTCCTAAGCCTGGTGCTCATCTTATCCGAGGCTTCTATCTTCAAGGGGAAATTCTCTAAAAGTCGCAGTTCAGTACCAAAATGGACATCTGATACGATTTCTTATGTCAAACCACATTATTCCGAGGATGAGGATGGTTATGTAAGTAGTAGTAGTAGTAGAATGGCAGCATGATAAACGTATTAAATAATGTCTTATATCAGCTCCAACCTGGTGTGGTACACGGAGGAGGAAGGGGAGAAATAAGTAACTTGAATAATAAGGATAACACTTACAAGGTGATGGTGATTATTATATTCATTGAGGATGATATTATCGACTTATTATGATTATGACTAGGACGATGAAGCTTCCGCCGCCGTCGCCGTCGCCGAAGTGAACGCGAATGGAGAGATTTATCAAAATATAGAAAATGGTGATACTACTACAGCAGGAGCTGCATCGGGTTTAGAATCTGATTGGGAATCGGAAGGAAGTTTATTTGATAGTGATTCAAGCAATCATGAATCATACGAAAACGTAGGGAGAGGTAATGAGAAGTATAATAATGATGAGAACAATGATGATGATGGTCACGTCTACGAGACATATGAATGGGAGTCACAGGATAATCAACCGAGAAGTAATGAAAAGGATCACCAACCGCACATAAAAGACGGGGGAACTCTGAAGAAGAAAGTAGTAGTGGACTACTACTACTACTATCACTACTACTATCACTACTACTAAGACGACGACGAGCAACAATTACCAGGAAGTATAATACAAATATGATCAGGTTAGTAAGACGCTATCATTACATAAAGGGAAGAAGAGGGATGAACCTCGAGACGAAGAGAAGGTTAAGGCAGGATCGCTCCCATCCAGGGTAAAAACCTAGTCGAATTTTCTTTGTGGTGATTAACATCATCATCATCTGTCGAAGGTGAAACTGACCAATACAATGGATGAGAAAGCAAAAAGTGGCAAAGGATTTTGGCGAAAGTTAACTGTAAGTAGTATTAGTAGTAGGGGGAGGAGGAGGAGAAGGATTATTGGTATATTATCAGAGCGCAGTGAAAATGGTATCTAGGAAGAAGGATTCAAGTCTTGGAAAGAAAAAAGAAAAGGAAAAGAAGAAATCCGATAATAAAAAAGAAAGAACTTACGACGAGATGAAGAGTAAGACGATTGAGAAAGCGACAGTTCATAAGAATACGAAGATAGAGGGAAAGCCACCAAATACTGCCATCTCGTTGAGAAGAAAGCCTAATAATGATACTAATCAGGTGAACATTATTATCATTATCGGTGGTGATAATGTCGATCATTAGGG